AGGTTGCGCGCTGAAAACTCATGTTGTTCTGCTGTATTTGGCGAGGGCTTCGGAATTTTTCACCATTTTGTATCGTTGCATTTTGATTGTAGCGCGCGCGGAGACGACGCAATCGCTGACGCTGATGCGCTTGATTGCCTCGCTGCGCGTTGGAGAAGTGTATGGAAGCTGCTGACTGTAGTGCTTTTCATTTGTTCCACAACACGCATGACGGTCAGCAAAACAGTCAGCCAACGGCGTATGGAGCAAGGAACTTACCGAGTGTTACAAGTTGTCGTACTGACAACCGCTGACTGCACTTGTTCGCAAGCGAAACATGTGTTGCCACCACCGCCGCAGTGCTGGCTGTTTGCCTGTCAACGCAAAGTGGAAGAAAGATTTATGAAGCTTGGCGCTTTTATGGTCATGACATTGCTAGGTAGGCAGGCAGCGTCCACAGTACAGGCAATCCCAGCAGCAAGGCGGCCAACCAAATCAAGGCAGTGCGGCGGCGGCGGCGGCGGCGGCGGCGGCGGCATGCGTAAGCGTACGCGTACGCGCGCCCTCCTTTTTGGCGCGCAGGTGATGCCGGAAAATCTACGCACACAAATGATACAAGCTGTTTCGCTCTTTAAGTGAGGTGCGCCAAAAGTAGACAAATCTTTGCGCACAAAAAACCAATGGTGCCGCGTGAAACTTTAATAAGCGCAAGCAGGCGCAAAATATTTTAATGACCACCGTTGTATTGCTGCGCTCATTGCGACTTGAGATGCACACAAGCGTATGTGGCATGCGGCGGCCAATGCTTTTGGTAGGTGTTGTGGTTGCGTGTAGAACGAAAAACGCTAAGAATGCTGGTATCATTAAGGTTTCGAGAGGGAAGGTATCTTTAAAAATATAGAGCGCTGCTATTTAAGGAAGCTTTATTTGCAGAACAACTTTACTGATGGTTGAAATATTTATTTTTAATAAATATTATGAGTCAACTTACCACAATTTTCAGCTGTCGCTTCGGCTCCTAATCCTCTCAGCTAGTGCATTCTGCTTGCAAAGCGAAGTTTTAACGCCTGAAAACAGAAAAAGTAATTAAAAATTAGTAAATGCATTAAATTGAACTCATTGCAAAAAGTTATTAAGGATATTGGAGCGAAATCTTTTCTGAAAGAAATTGGAATTCCGGGAGACAAGATGCTTAAGTTTCGGGAAAATTTTCCGAAGGGAAGGCCCGAAACTTTATGTTTCTTTAACAGCGCTCGCTCGGCTCAATACTCACAACGGATTCCCGCTGCTCAAATTTTACGAAAAAAGAGTAAAATGAAGAACAGAAAACCTAAGCGCAGCGCCAACAAATATATATATATACAACGAAAAACTTAAAAAAGAAGTAGAAAAGTCTGCAGCTACTCGTGTGGCCACTGCAAAACAAAGTCATTAATCATCAGTGCTAAACGCTTTAATTTTCTTAATTAGCTAACAAACAAACGAACAAGCGAAAACAAATGCTTTTGTAGAGCGCTAATCGTCGTAGGCTACCCGTAGCTGAAAGGAAAAAAAATAATCAAAGCCAAAAGGGGGCGTCGAATGAACCAAAAACGTGGAATAGAATAGATCAGAAAATGAAATGAATTTGGGAGAAATGGGCTCAGACGTGCGTTCAAATTGAAATTACGAGCTGCTGTGTCGAAGAAGTAAGCGAGCGCATATTCAGCAGGCGTTAGCGCGGGTGTGCATTAGCATAACGAAAGCATCAAGCGAACACACGCCTCCAACGCCTCTAACTCCATCTCTAACAAAATTTGAGCGTAAAAGATATTCATAGACAAGAAAATTTGAATATTTCGAAGTGATTTTTCGACTGGCTGTTGCATGTTAGCCGCCCAAAAGGCAAATTGAGGAGATACACACAAAAAAACACGCACACGTAAACACGCCCACCACCAAAGCTGGTCGTTGGCCGAACAATCAGCCAACCAGCGCGTACCCAAGCACCGAGCGCTAATTAGAAATTATAATTATTAATGAATTTTCAATGGGTGTTGTTATTGTTGTTGGTGGTGTTTGAGGGTGGCAGCATTGAATAACACGCTAACGTTACTTGGTAGTCGTGCAAAGTTCAAAACGCCGCAAGTAAACGAAAGACTTAAGACACAAACCCGCTGGAGCAGCAGCAGGCAAATGATAATACACAAATGTAAGTGTGTGCGTACACGTGTACATACATACGTAAATAGTAATCATGTTTGCTAGCGTCGCTAACACTTAATCAATCACTGTCCGCCACACGTTTGGAAATGCTATAATAAAAACAACAACAACAAGAACAACAGCAACATAGCAATAATAAGTAATGAGTATTCAATCGCAGCAGTGCATCTGCAGCCACATCTCTTTGTTTTTTCTCCAACTTTACTCGAATGCCACTGCAGCCAGCAGGCCGTCAACGATTAAAGCCACAACTGAAGTGGTTTGCTGCTGTTGCTGCTGCCGTTGAAGGTGATTCGGTAATTCGCGCAACCGCGCAATGCAGGGTGGCTGCCTGACGGCTGCGACGGCTGCTGCTGAGTGAAGGCGCAACAACAACAACAACAACAATAGCTACATCAAACTAGTGACGGCCGTTTGGTATGCGGTTTTCGTAGATTGGCTGAATAATCGTGTTTGAAATTAGAAACACACGAGAAAAAAGCCTCCATTTGCCAGCCATCAAACAGCTAATTCGCTAAAAAGACACGCTGTCTCGCGCGTCGTCGCCTCAACTGCTAATACACCAGCACGCAGCCTTCACTACTGGCTAAGCTGTTAAGCAGCATTAGCCTCCAACGCCGGCACCACCACCACCGCCACCGCCACCTCCAACTCTAAGCATGCAGACATGCGCATGCGCACAAAAATTCAAAGTTGGAGGCTCGTGCGCATGCGCAAACCGCTCGCAGCAAAAAAGCGCAGCGTGTACACATTGCACCGCGGTGGACGGCAAGCGGTGGTGAAGCGCACTGCCAGTAAGCGTTTCGTTGTTAACAACTTCGCCGCTGCGCGCCACCCGCCGCCGACCAGTCGTTGCTTGCGTTCATGGCGAAGCAACCAACCATGCGCTTGTAGCTATTCTGCAAGATAGGCGCAAGAACATGAAATTAAATATTTTTAAACAAGCGCAAAAAATTTAGAAACCCATCTAGCAACAATAAGAGGACAACAAAAAGTGCTGCGCCCGCGTTGTTGGCCAAACGTCGCGCATTCTAACTGCTTAAGTACACACTGCGCATGCGTACACTACCCGAACGCGCAACCATGAAATTGAGTGTCTAACACGCTGCTTAATGCTTGCTTTTTTGTTGCGCGTTATAATAGCTTTTCAAGCCGTTGGAGGCGGCGGCGGTGGTGTCGGCTTTGGCTGCTGGCATTTTAGAAGGTTTCCTACCAAAGTTGCAAACTGGTTTTGCTGAATATGTATTCGAGGATTTTCGCCACTAAAACACTCGTCAACGAGCTTAGATACGAGTTTTAGTTGGTTTTTATAGTAGGAATTTTTTTTTTTTTGGCCATAGCTATTTAACTAGTTGCCACCAACATATATTCTTCGCTTCGCTAATCTACACAACTTTGTCTATGTGTACATATTTCTTTTTTTCTTCGTATTTCAATTTATTGTAAACAGCCACAAATTATGATTAATGATATGAACCGGCAACTAGCGATTACAACAACCTTAGTCAGCGTGGCAACAACAGCAACATTTACATGTCGACTTGAATGGCTGGCATTTGGCTAGTGGTTTTGTTTTACAGCGCCTTGCCGGTCCTCTTCACGTGTTCGCTTGCCTTGACCATTGGCCAGGGAAGTTGAAATGGAATGGTTATTTGAGCAACAACGGGGGAAGTATTATTGTGAAGGGCAGTTGAGTATGTGTTTAGGGAATGTGTGGGCCGCTTTTGTGGTAATTTTTCGCCCGCAGCGCGCCTAAAGGATAATTGCATGGCGGCTGAAGGTTTTTCTGGTCAGATACAGCTAACGTATATTACGCTTTGAAATAGCGTTTTGATTATAGATGTTCGTCTACTGGAGTATGTGGTGTGCGTGCAATTAAAATGGAATGCCGAGATGGTCAAAGTAGAAGGTTCTTATTAAATAATTATGTGGTGAGTGTTTTTCTAAGAGTGTATTGTTTTTAGGATTTTTTAGAAGAAAAAAAGCAAGTATTTTAAAAAGTTTTCAAACCAATGACAGCAGAGAAGAATTTTTGTACGTCTGGCAAGAACCTCGAAGTTGATTTGAAGAAAGTACTTTGATTCAGTTAATAGCCAAATAATTTATGTGCGAGTGCCTGTTATTGTCGGAATTCTACCGTTTTTTCTAGTTTATAAAGAGCCTTGTAGATGTTTTAAAACGTTACTAAATTTTTTTAAATCTTTGAAGGTCTTTTCAGGACTTTGGCAAGGCTTGGAATTGACACGTTACATTCCAGTTTGTCGATAAATTTCGATAGTCTGATAAATGTCGATAGTTCGATGAATTTTAAAAACAATAAACAACAAAACTCAACAAAGTTCGATAATTGACTAATTTCGATAACTTTCGATACATTTCGATATCTAAGCGTTTCCAGATCTCAAAAAATTTCAATACCTCAAAAATTTTAAATCGATAACCCGAAAAACTTTGGACACCCTTATAAATTTCGATAACTCGGCAAATTTTGATAGCTTCATATTTTTCAAAAGTTATTGAGAAATTTCGACAACTCGTTATACTCTGGTAACACGATGAAATTCGATATGCAGTGATAACTCGATAAACTTATATAAACTACGATTCTATAAATCGACAAATTTCTGTAAATCAATATATATCGATTACTCAATAAGTTGAAAAAAACTGATGCATTACGATAACTCGATAAATTTCGTTAACTCTATAAGTAATGATAATTCAACAAATATCGATAACTTGATAAATGTCATTAAATGAAAAATTTTCGATGATCCCATAAATTTGTATAGCCCGATAATCATCCGTAAATTTCGACAACTCAATAAACATCGCTCCATTTGAATAATTCGATATGTAACGATAACTCAATAAACCTGGATTTCGGCAACTTGATAACTTTCGGTAAACAAATTTTTTAAGACAGAGTTTATCTCGATTCCTACCAAATCTTATGTATTTCTTATTGTTTTTATTTTCGCCTTTGTCTTAAATTTTTTTTAGTCATATTTATTATTTGCTTCTTCATCATCCTTATTACAGAGTTTAATTTCAAAAAAGAAGTAATACAAAATGCAAAAACAACTCAAATTGAACAGGTTGCAACAACAACTATAAACCAAACTTAAATTTTGAAAGGACAATTTGGGCCGTAATTTTCAACCAGTTTCAAACGAAGGGCGACAAAATTTATGCTAGCGTTTAATATATAGATATTTTTAAAATGACTGCGGATAGAGGCTTCTATATTCTGCTTGGAGCTTACAACAGATTTATTAAAATAGATGAACCCTGTACCGTATCAATAGACGGATAAGTGGATAAAATACTAGGTCGAAACGAGAAGGTTAATGGACAGGCGAAAACTGGTATACGCCTGACATCGCTCAACAAACTATGCATGTACGTAGCAGCATTCCCTATAGCAGGCTGTAGTCTAGTGGTTGGGATACTCACCGCCTCATCCGGCAGAACGAATACCAAAACAAAATTATATATTCCGCGTACAATGGAGACAATTTTCTAAGAACACGATTGAGCTCCTCCTGTATCATTGAAAAGCATGCTGCACATACCAATTTTTCTTCCATGTCTATACGTTATTTGCCTCATTGAAGGATATAATCGACCAAAATACCAAGAAATTACTCAGATTCGCTAAATAACAGAAACTAAGAATCAATCGCAATTTATGTGAAGGATCCAAGCTAACTTAACTAAAAATAATAATTAATAAATCAGGCTTGCCAGGAACTCTATCCTGTAACACACGAGGACATTGAAGGAGTTTTTAATAAAAAAAAAACTTCCATTAATCCATTAATTCTTGGTGACAATTAAATGTACCATAGCTTAACAGTCAAT